TTCTTCATCTCCCATCAGACAATCACATCACTATTCCAACAGGGTCTATCAACCACCAAGAGACCAGGATTATCCTGCTAGAGAGTATCCAGCTAGAGAGTATCCAGCTAGGGAGTATCCAGCTAGGGAGTATCCGACAAGAGAATATCCTAGTGGGGAGTTCCTTCCCAGAGATTATTCGAGCAGAGAGTACCTGGATGAGAACCAGGAATATGATAGAAGTTTTCGTGCAACATCTCCGTACATGGAGAGTGGTTATCTTGATGATAGACCACGATATGCAGCTTATGACAGCCCTTATATTGATGCTTATGTTGGAAGACCTGTGAGTCCAATTGGAAGGCCACTAAGTCCTCACCACCGATCCATGTCTATGCCATCATTCAACATTCAAAGGTCTCCTTGCCCATTGTGTGGTGGGACAGGTTCTCATACGCATGGACAATATGCCTATCCTGAGGACTATGGCCGAGAATCACCCCCACAGGCTACCTATGCCCCTCCTCCTCCTAACTATGCACAAGCGCCCACTATGGCAAGACATTCCCCCATTGATCCAGCCCAGCCTGTTTATGCCCCAACCTCTGGTTCCAGAATGGCACAGTCTGTTCCGTCCATACCAACTGCAGTATCAGCAGGATACCAGCAGCCACAGATGCAGCAACCAGTGTTGGCACCAACCTCACCTGCTCAACATGTGGTGACACAGCCAACATACACTTCAGTGCAGTCTGTCCCAGCTACAGCTCAACAACAACCAATACAGATTATCAGTAAAACTCCTGTCAGGTGAGTTATCTACAACATAAAATACTCCCCATATATAAACTAAGCACCTCTGTAAACATTATTTCTTTATGATTTTGGTTTAGTATAAATATTTGAAAGGTAGGAAACAATTGTTACTGTAATGACATTAAAATCTTAGAATTCTCAATGTCATGGTCTTCCTCGATTTTGTCATAAATATGCACAGTCTGTATTTTTTTCAACAAATTTTGTCCTGAAATTCATTTATAATGCGTTTTTCGAAATCTAAGAAATTTGACCCCAGCCTTTGGTTGTGGTTTGTTGTATGGCTTTTTATGTTTAGTGTTCAATCCCTGTTATTGTTTGTAGACAATATACAACATCTATGAAGAAAGGAAAAGTTCGTTACTATGAAGCCTTTGATACAGATACTGCTACTGAAGAGGAGATTATATACAGAAGGTATGTATAGACAGTTAACTCTATTGCACTGTTGTGTATACCATAATAACACATTCAACTGACTTGTATCCATGTTTGCCTAACATATTATGACCATGTGTTAAATATTGGTGTGTTTCTTTCAATAGAACCAGTCCTCGCCGTGAAAGTCGAAGACCTCACTCTAGAACATATCAAGAAGACAGAGCTTCAAAGGTATGTTATTTGACCTTCATATTGGATAAGCATGCAGCCTCCTCATCCAAGTGATCCCGTTGCTGTCTTCTGCATTAGTCATTTCTGCATGTGAGTCTTATTGTTTAATTTCAGTTTATCGTAGCTGGTTAGTAGTATAATTTAATTTTTTTTATTAATGTTTTTACTAACTTATTTATTTTTAGGGGACTCACATGGTATTAATTCACAACCAAACTTTTTCTTTCACTCAAATATTTTTTCAGAATATGAAGATAGAAAACAATTTTTAATTTTGACATTGAAGTTACAAAAATATTGGTGTAACTTTCAAAATGAGCTTTTGTGATTACAGTGCATCATTGCATGTGTATGCACATATACACATACTTTTCTCAGGGATCTCGCCACGCTGGTCGGCAGTGGTCGGCCCCGACCGGCACTCAAAATTAGCGACCACCATGGAAATGGTTCCGACCAGGACTATTGTTATTATAATTATGTACCGACCGACATGCATCCTGACAGTCCTGGATTATAATTTGTAAACAATAGACCTCGTCGCACGATTCGTAGCGGCTAGTCAATTTTGTGAAATTAGCACCTCTTTGTTTGTAAGTAAATACTTTCTGCGATAAACAGTCTTTAGATTGAAGGCTAAAATTCTTTCAAAATCAATTCCACCTCAATATAACATGGTCAAAGTGGAGTTCACGATCTGACAGTTTACGCTACTCAAGAAAAAAATCAACGTGTTTATTGCGTGATTTGGTAAAATACATTTGAACTGTTATCATCGCGATTCATGTAAAAACTCTTCTTTCAAGACCTATTTTACCTTTTAAAAATTGCTAATCACTTCTTTCGAAAACCATCATGCAGTTTTCAACTGAAATCGATGTCAACACATCGTGCTACGACATCACTTCACTTCCGCAATGTAATTTTTATGATCACTACCCACTAAAATACATTTGAACTGTTATCATCGCGATTCATGTAAAAACTCTTCTTTCAAGACCTATTTTACCTTTTAAAAATTGCTAATCACTTCTTTCGAAAACCATCATGCAGTTTTCAACTGAAATCGATGTCAACACATCGTGCTACGACATCACTTCACTTCCGCAATGTAATTTTTATGATCACTACCCATTCGGAAAACTTTGAATTCTACCGGCATTACCATGCGGCATTCTGATTAATTAATGGAATTCTTGACCCATCGGGTCAAAGAACACATGCCGGACAACCAATGCGTCACAAACATCATGGCGGGCTTTGTTTTTTACCGAAGTGATCGAGTGATCAAAAAATATCCAAATTTTACTTTTATTTCATATAAAAAAACGAAGTAAAATTTTTTTGCTTGGCATCATGACTGAGGAATAGGAATTATTGGTATAATCGGTGTATAACATCGAGAAGTAAGTTATGTAACGTCGTAACTTTGAAAGTTTTATTTATTCGTTCATTACTGTGAATATATACGTTTTAGAAGTTGATGGTACGAATAATAAATTACGACAATACTCTAATTAATTAACTAAATAATTAAGGAGAATGTATTTGGAGTAAATAAGATCGGGAACATATTCCTGCTGAAACGTTTCAAATGCGTTTTATTTAACTTTTTACAATAGACATTAATATTGCAATAATAATTTATTTGTTTCTGTTTTTTAGTCTGCAGCATTCACATTTCGAATATATTTAATTTTTAAAATCAAACTCTTCTAAACTCTAAAACATAATGTCTTAATTAATATTCATATAGCTCATTAATATTCATGACCGACCAGCACTTATGCTGGGCTGGCGAGATCCCTGTTTTCTATTCCAAACATGTTACAAAATGCATGAGAGAATATTTGATGAATGTAGTCAACTAACTTATATGGTAAATGAAATGGTGATCATGGGTATGGGTTATCTTCACACTTTCCATACATTTTGCCGCAGCTTCAGCTCTAACCACCATATTTCTATTAATAAAATTATAATTTGTTGACTAGTATATGCTTATGAAAATGATTTACTGAATAAAGCATATATGTGTATGTACATGTCTGTGTTAATGTTTTACATAGTAATGTGACCAGCATGGTATGTACATGTCTGTGTTAATGTTTTACATAGTAATGTGACCAGCATTGTATGTACATGTCTGTGTTAATGTTTTACATAGTAATGTGACCAGCATGGTATGTACATGTCTGTGTAAATGTTTCACATAGTAATGTGACCAGCATGGTATGTGTATGTCTGTGTGAATGTTTCACATAGTAATGTGCCAGTACGGTATGTGTATGTCTGTGTGAATGTTTCACATCTTAATGTGGCCAGCATGGTATGTACATGTCTGTGTAAATGTTTTACATAGTAATGTGACCAGTATGGTATGTGTACCTCTGTGTTAATCTTTTACATAGTAATGTGACCAGCATTGTATGTACATGTCTGTGTTAATGTTTTACATAGTAATGTGACCAGCATTGTATGTACATGTCTGTGTAAATGTTTTACATAGTAATGTGACCAGTATGGTATGTACATGTCTGTGTAAATGTTTTACATAGTAATGTGACCAGTATGGTATGTACATGTCTGTGTAAATGTTTTACATAGTAATGTGACCAGTATTGTATGTACATGTTTGTGTAAATGTTTTACATAGTAATGTGACCAGTATGGTATGTGTATGTCTGTAAATGTTTTACATAATAATATGACCAGTATGGTATGTACATGTCTGTGTGAATGTTTCACATAGTAATGTGACCAGAATGGTATGTGTATGTTTGTGTGAATGTTTCACATCGTAATGTGGCCAGCATGGCATGTGTATGTCTGTGTAAATGTTTCACATAGTAATGTGACCAGCATGGTATGTGTATGTCTGTGTGAATGTTTCACATAGTAATGTGACCAGTATGGTATGTGTACCTCTGTGTTAATATTTTACATAGTAATGTGACCAGTATGGTATGTGTATGTCTGTGTGAAAGTTTCACATAGTAATGTGACCAGCATGGTATGTATATGTCTGTAAATGTTTTACATAGTAATGTGGCCAGCATGGTATGTATATGTCTTTGTAAATGTTTTACATAGTAATGTGACCAGCATGGTATGTGTATGTCTGTGTGAATGTTTCACATAGTAATGTGCCAGTACAGTATGTGTATGTCTGTGTGAATGTTTCACATAGTAATGTGACCAGTATGGTATGTGTACCTCTGTGTTAATATTTTACATAGTAATATGACCAGCATGGTATGTGTATGTCTGTGTGAATGTTTTACATAGTAATGTGAGCAGCATGGTATGTACATGTCTGTAAATGTTTTACATAGTAATGTGGCCAGCATGGTATGTGTATGTCTGTGTGAATGTTTTACATAGTAATGTGAGCAGCATGGTATGTACATGTCTGTAAATATTTTACATAGTAATGTGGCCAGTATGGTGTGTAATGTCTGTGTGAATGTTTCACATAGTAATATGACCAGCATGGTATGTGTATGTCTGTGTGAATGTTTTACATAGTAATGTGAGCAGCATGGTATGTACATGTCTGTAAATGTTTTACATAGTAATGTGGCCAGTATGGTGTGTAATGT